TATATATATATATATATATACAAAATAGAGGGGCGTGTCTGGCAAACACTCGAGCCCTCATGAACATTCTAGATTCTCATTACGTGTAACCAGCATCACGTGACTTCTGCTGTCGTAACAGTAACATTAATTACTTTTGTGGTCTTTTGTTAAACCACAGATACACAACCCACTCCAGGATCAAGAAAACATAAACAAGCTTGCCGTTTATAAAATTCTTCTATTTAACAAGTAAACTGATACAGAATATTAATGCTGGCTCAGTGAAACAAAGCTTACACAGCTCATTCAGATAACATGCTGATTGTGAAAAGTAGATCTCAGTACTTAGATTTGTAATGATAGCCCAGGGTCTAACTTTAATTCTCTCTTTTTTTTAAATCATAAACATTATTTCACATTTTTACCTTAGTTTCTGAATTTATGCCTAACCCAAATTCACTAAGCTGGCTAAGCCAAGTATAACTTTTACCACAGTAAGGACACACAGTATTGGTTACAATACTTAATATATTTGCTATTATTTTTCATTACTTCTAACTGAATACTACATTTATTATTATTTTAGATTTTCATTATTCTTCATTGGTTTAGTATACAGTTTTAAAACTAATCTATGCTTTTAGGACTAGTTGATACCTGAAAAATGTTACTGGGTTTATGTCCAAAAATATCTTTTTGTTCTGATCTACCAAATTATACAGAATCAAACGTTTATTTGGTATATTTCGATGATGTTGACAGAAGGAGGTTGGCTAGAAGCTGGTCAAACCCCATCCCCCATCATATATAATTGCACAATGATTACAAATCTCACAAAGTATTGTTACGACAGCAGAAGTCACGTGATGCTGATAGCACGTCATGAGTTTTTAGAAGGATCATGACTGTTTCTGGCAACTCTACTGCTTGCCAGACGTCCTCTATTTTTGTATATAAGCCCGGAAAATAAAGCAGAGACATAACTGCAGATAGACAGATATAGAAACAGATAATGGAGTCAAGTGAGCGGGAGTAACCATAAGTATAGTGTGTGAATCGTTGCGAATTTTAGCGCATGTTTCAGTTAAAGTGACTGTGGAAATTCTGTGTATTGCAAAGTTGTATTGAGAAAGAATAAACTAGTTTTATTTAATGAAAGGACTTGTATCGCTGAAGTTCCTTGGGAAGAATTTATATGGGAAATTAACAAAGGACCAGAGATGTAACAGTATATTTAACATAATGTACTCACCTTTATAGTTTAATATGAAACATTTAGGCTATAAAGCAGTGAGATGTTATGGAGTATTGATAATTACATAGAACATATGCTTATAACATAGTACACCAAAGTAAAATACCAATTTTTTTTTTTTTTTTTTTAGTTAAAAGCCAATGATAAACCAAAAACTTACACACAGTCTGACCATGCATTCTTATTTATATTAAACAGCTATATTATAGCACCTTGAAAACAAAAATTTAACATGATATATAAAATATAAAAACAAAATGCAGAACAAGGTTAACTATGACACATATCAAAGCAATGCCTTTCACATCTTTAAAATCTGAAACTTCAAAACATTACAAATATCCTTTAAAATATTAAAAAATAGTTAAATACAATTATTTCATTAATAGATACAAAATACACCTGTGAATACAGATCCAAAACTTTCTTTAGGTTCTCAACATATACTTCTTCAACATTGCTATCTTTGATGTACTTTGATTGATTGCCAGCCAAGATGTGAATCCTGAAACAAAACAAATAAAACATTTAATTCCACAAACACAGAACCTGGACAATCTATAATCCTGTATGATACTGGATTATACTCAGACATCTGATTTCATAAACTTAAAAAAAGACAAACTATAAACCTATACAATGCTGGGGGCTAATCTACAGACATTTAATAACTTAAATAAAACAAAAAATAATGAGCTATATTCCTCTATGATAAATATGTATATTAATACCTGAATTAACAAGAATAAAAAAAAATCTTCATTAACTGCAAATTAATAAATTTAAGATAATGTATCTAATGAATATACAGAAGCCTAAAATACCAGCATAGGTCTACCTTTTTAATAAACACATCCATGTAACTAAGGTATTACCAAATATCAAAACAAAGTTTTATTTACAAGAATAAGTAAATCAAATAAAGGCAAAATAAAATTATATTTTAACACATGCTTCTATATTCCACAAGCACACTAGATTATTCACCAGAATCATCACTCCAAACATTCCACAAGCACTTTAGATCATACACCAAGAATGTCAAATATTCTAAAAACATTCTACATTGTTCAAAATAATTAAAAGAAAATCAAAATTTTCTACATTCTAGCTACAAGAAGGAATAATTTCTGTTATTAAATAATATTGATGACAACTCCAAGTTCTCTTTTATACAAATAGAGTGTTAGGTGATTCATACTGTGATCCAACATGTACATTTCCTTGTAGAAAAAAGTAGAAAGACAATTAGCAGTGTGAAAAACGGATTGAAAGCAGAACATGCCAGGGCCCCAACAGTAATTTTGAATAGTTTCTTGATGTTGATCAAAAGAGGTTGGCTAGAAGCTGGTCAAACCCCATCACACCTAGTTGTACAATGACTACAAGTTTCACAAAGTATATTTAACTGAATGTAGACTCACCTTGAGAATATCAAAGTAGTTAGCCAGAGACCTGGATAGGGTAGACAAGTGCCAACAACCCCACAAGACAGCTGCTATTTGATTTGGCTTCATGAGCCCAAAGCAGTCTGCAGGTCTCATTTTTCCCAAATGAATAAACATTACCACAAAAGCAGCCTGTTTTCAATAGTTTCAAGGACATATGAGTGAATGTCTTGCTCACATATAAATCACACTTTACATTGCAACCAGATATGACACCTGTAGGTAAACATGCATATGGTGATGATGGCATACTGGTTTGGAGAAAAATCAGTTATGGTAGCTACACTGACTTCATTTGCTATAACATGGTACTATGAATGCCATATAACATACAAGTTCAGCCTTACAACCACTAGTGTTGCCATGTAAAAGTACAGTTGGTAAGAACTTTCTTCCAATAGAAGACAACATGCACCCACGCTGTAATCAACTGTTTAGCAACTTCTTGGAAGAAGAGGATGTTCAATAGTGAACTCTAATTATTTTGAGCAGTGTAGTTAATGTACTAGAATCATCACCTTATGCAAATATATTGTATTAACTCCCAAACATGCTATTAAATAAAATACCAAATTACCAAACTAAAATGCAAAAAATGTTTAATAAATAATATTGTAACATGTTAAATTTTCTAGAGTGTTATTTTGGATATCACTTGGTAAACATATTATGAAGTCCAGTCAAAATGATGATAATGAACTAATCTATTTCTTCAATAAATAAATACAATTTGTTAAAGGCTACATTTATTTGTATGCCTAACTTTATATACAATGGTTTAAGTTTTTTTGTTTGTTTGGAATTAAGCACAAAGCTACACAAAGGGCTATCTGTGCTCTGCCCACCACAAGTATCAAAACCCGGTTTCTAGTGTTGCAAGTCTGCAGACATACTGCTGTGCCACTGGGTGACATGGTTTAAGTTCAAATAACATTTAATAGAACGACCAAACACTATCATACACTTACTTATTTAATCACAAATACAAAACCTTACAGAACTTCAATCACAGATACACTAACCCTCACTGACTAACTAGCATTGAACTAAATCATTGATAACTCGTTAATATTTCACTGAAAGTTCCAGATTCTACAGAGGCCTTACTTTTCATAAACGTTCTAGATATTTCATCATGTGTACTCTGGCACAAACATAAGCAAGATATACAAAAATAGTTTACAACACTATAATTAAACTTAGATATTATTGAAGCATACTATTTAATATACTTGCATGTAATGTTTTTCTGCTTGTATTCATATCCACTATTTTTACTAACTGCATTACATCTTTGGATACACTCATAGATTACTTACATTTTGCAGTCTAAAGCCTTAGCATACTTTACACTCAAATCCATGGAACTCAGAAATTCAGCTTCATAATGTGGTTTGGAAGCAAATCCAAAGTCTCCTATTCCAATATTTCCTATAGATGTTTTTAGAGAAAGAGATTAATTATAAGGATAGCTTCTGTTTATATATTATTTAGAAAAGCTAAAAATTAATAAAGAAGTGTTACGTCTCCGTTTGTTAATTAACTTTCCGTAACTTCGTTCCGACGAAATTTTAACGACCCAAGTCTTTACTTAATAAAACTGGTTTATTCTTTCCGAACACAA